AAGTAAGTCTTACTAACCAGAGAGAGAAAAAGTTGACCTGTACAGAAAGTTAACGTAATTGATTTTCCAATAATAACTTTGTTGAACCGTTGCTGTTATTTCAAAGCATTAATCCTGTCCAAACTGACAGCTGAGATGTGAAATTATGTGACAGTTTTCTCTGCCTTTTTAGATTTTATGGTATTACCTTTATCCTATTTCTGTATGTTAGTGGTTTGAGGGAGCAGACCAGCACTTTTTAGCTCAGAAAGCCTAATAAACAGTGTCAACCCCCGAAAAAGGTCTTTATATTTTGTCAGAAGTGTACAGACTGTCACCCAATATAAAAGCCTGTGTAGTAGCCTCCATCCAGTGCTCTGCTTCCTATGCAAAAAGGGTGAAGGATTAGTAGGGAAAAGAAGACAAAAAAAAAGACTCTTCACATTTTGTATTTTATATGTTCCTTTGAAGAAGAACTAAATAAATGTTTCTTTGATCTTACCAACCCAGATGCCTTAATGAAACTATAAAGTGTAACTAGAAAAATGGATAATACCCTGCAGACTTAAACTTGATTAATTTAGTGCAGTGAATACAGAGCTCATTTATTCACAGGCTGAGGATTTGCCTTGAAGATGTGTGGCATTTTCATGCATACCCTCATACTATTTATCTTTTGAAAATTAAATTATGTAATTAGCCCAACAGCCTTATAGCAATGATATAAATTGGTGTTGTTTTTATGCAAAATAGCATTTTTAGTTGCTGAAGTTCCTCTCAACAAGTCATTTTTTCCTCTCTCTGGTTGACATTGTAACTCTCAAGTTTCAATTCACCTTCAGCTTTGGAAGCTATTTTTTCAATACAGAACTGGAAAGCGAACAGTAGGTGGGAATCCAGCATGCATGCTGCTTGTGCATCTAGGTGGGCACTCTCAGCAATGTTTTCCAGCATGTATTTTAGGGAGCATATTTTTAGAGGAAATCGACAAGGTGAGCAGTTGATACTGTCAGCAGTCCAGATGTCATTTCACCTCAGAAAGCAGTTTGGTAACTTGTGCAGACAGGAATTGGCTTAGTTGTCAGAAGGGCAGAAGGTTTTGGAGGAAAGAGGACTCATGAGATCTCTGGAGCACTGTTGTGACCAAATCTAAAAGACTGTTTGGTGTGACAAAGAAATTGTGACAGAAACTGAGATACCAGCCTAGGAGCCACTTTAGATGAAGTTTCTGTAAGTAAGTAGGTAACTGTGCATTCTGGGGAAAATCCAGAGTCTTACCTGTTGTGCAATTTTCATAGAATCATAGTCGTTAAGGTTGGAAAAGATCACTCTTTTCCTAATATCGAAAGTGAACCTCCATGGTGCAACTTAAGGCCATTATCCCTTGTCACTGCATTTGTCAGTGCTACCTGGAAGAAGAGACTGACCCTTCCTTGCTGCAACTTCCTTTCAGAGAGTTGTAGAGCTCAGGTCTTCCCTGAGCTTTCTCTTCTCCAGATGAAACAATCTCTGGTCCTGCAGCTGCTCATCATAAAGCTTGTGCTTCAGACTCCTCACCTGCTTTGTTGCCCTTCTCTGGGCACACTCCAGGAAAAAGTCTCAGTGTCACTCAGTGTCTTTCTTGTAGTGAGGGACCCAAAGCTGAGCATGCTACTCAAGGTGAGACCTGACCAGATCTGAGTACAGGGGAAAATCTCCTTGCTAGTCCTGCTGGCAACACTATTTCAGATACAAGCCAGGATACCACTGGCCCTCTTGGGCAGACTGCTGCTTGCTTTCAGCTATTGCTAACAAGCAATACCTTCAAATCCTTTTCCTGTGTGCAGGTTTCCATCCAGTCTGCCCCAAGGCTGTAGCATTTGTGTGTGGTTTTCACAAACCCCATGTAAAGTGCAGGAACTGGCACTTGGTCTTGTTGAACTTCATCCCATTGGTCTCAGCCTAGCAATTAAACCTGTATACCTGTCCAGATCCCTCTGGAGGGCCGTCCTATCCTCAAGCAGATTGACACTTCCTCCCTACTTGTGTTATCTGCAAACTTATTGAGGGAGCTCTAAATCCCCTTGTCTAGATCACCAATAAAGATATTAAATGGAATAGACCTCAGTAACAACTCACCTGGAGAGCACTGCTTGTGACCAGTAGCCAAGTGGAAGTGGATTTAATTCTATTCACCACCACTTTCTGGGTCAAACCCTCCAGCCAGCTCTTTACTCATCAGAGTGTACCTGTCCAAGCCAGTGTCCCCAGAAGAATGCTGTAGGAAACTATCAAGACAAACAATCCTTGATACCTTACTACAGTGTTCTGGAGGCCAAACTGAAGATAATATTTTAACTGTAATAAAACATATCCCATTGTGTACTTGTGGATTATGAGTCCAACAACCCAATGCCAGTTCACTGTTCATATATGCCCCCTTTCAACACTCATTATGGTTGTTAGAATGGAACTGACAGAGGTGCGTTGTGGATTTCTTTTGTCAAACAGGCTATTTTTTGCCTTCTTCCATGCTTCATTATGTCTTGCTGTGTGCACTGTGTGCTTTCGCCTTGATCCAGCCTCTCTACGCCAGTTGGGCTGGACATGCTGGCTCCTTGTGGTGCAACATAACTCTCTGGCCACATAGATATTTTTCATGAAGGCAGACCTGCTTATGTGAAAAGAATCCCTTTTCTAAACATTCAGGCAGACATAAGCTTATTCCTTTGATAGAAGGAAGAGATCAAGATATTGAGGGACATAAAATGTAGATAAAAGTGCAGTTTGTATTTCATGCCAATGCTTGGAAGTTTTTCCCCAGTGCTCATCTGAATAATTCAGAAGCATTTTATCAGTAAGCTAAGAAAAAAACCCTTTGGAGTACTCTGAAGTCTTTACTTCAGTTACCTATAAACAAAATATGTCAAGAAATACTCAGTGTAATGTGAACCACAACTTCTAAGAGATTTCCAACTAAGATAAATGTGATTAAGAAATATCCATGAGTCTTGATACATGCAGATGTTTTTTCAGAGCTTACTCTACATCGTCAAATAGATGGACTTGAAGAAAGCATGCTGAACTGCAGTAGTTTGTTATCAAAAGAAAATATGCTACAAGAGATCTTTTTTTGTGGTATTCCTTTTTCCTCTTCGAGGCAAAACAGCTTAACCCATCTACAAATGTAAATAGAATGACAATTCATGGACTGTTGTAAATTGTTTAAAGCTCATTTTCTTAAAGACACGAGGAAAATGAAGTAAAACATACTTCTCATATTACAACAGTATAACAATATGCTATATAAGCTGTATACAGCTATTAAGAGTATCCAGTAATTCATAAGTAAATATTGCTTTATTCCTAGTATTTCTTTTCTGTTTTAAGGTAGTTTTTTATTAAATAAATTGCTTCTGGCCACAAACATGTCTATTCTTTAAATGTTTTGTAACTAAATACAATTCAGAAATTCAGTTTTATATAAAAACTGTACTTGTCCTAATCATCTCTAGACCAGGCAAAATCCCTAACAGTATTCACTTAATCCTGCTCTAACCACATTTATGGTGTTTTCTTAGAGCCGAAAAGCATCAGTGCAATTCAAATTGAAATGAAAAAAGTTACTAGTACTCTTCTTCAAAGCTGCCATTTCTGTGATGATGCTGTATGTCTGCATTCACTGTTTTTTTCCAGAGGAAAAAAGAAATAATTAAGATTCATATAGTATTTCAAGATTGTAGCATTAAAGAAAAAAAAAGCGATCAAGGCTTCCAGTGAGATGGTCTACTTGCTTGTGAAACTCCTTAAAAACATACAAAAAGCTGAAGTTAATTAGGTTGGATGATTCACTTTCATAGTTCTACTTTTGAATTTAGATCTGCTCAAGAGTTATTTATCTTTAATTAATTTTTCTTGCCTTTAGTTCTAAGTTGCAGTTTTTAATAGTTCATACATAGGAGAGTGTCCAGAATTGCCAGGTGTTCATATTTTACTCATGTTTGTAACACGTAGTTAGTTGTGATGGGTGATATTTGCAGGAATGAAATATTGTTTGAGTTGGATATCAAAGACAGGGGAATTGATCTGAAGAAGTAGAGCACAATGTATTTGTATTTTGTAACTTGTCCTTAGAAATAGCTGATGTGAAAAAGTAGTGTCATGGTTTTATAGTTTTCTTACCAGTATTCCACATCATAACATCATGTAAAGTGTTGGGAATTAAATTGTTAGTACTCCAGTTCGGTGGACAGACAACTTTCTGGATACCTGGTTCTCAGAAGAGAAGAACTACATACACCGGACGACTTCACATTCAGAGAGGAAGACAAGCCACGGGATGAAGTCACAGGACTTTCTCTCGCTCACTGCCTGGCAGCGTATAGGTGCTCCCCAGCTGCGTGCCTTCAGTTCAGTTTCAGATACTCTCTCTCTCATTTTATTTAATTTATTAGCCTCAATTTCAATTATATTGTATTATATTGTGTTATCTTGCATTCCGATAACATATTCGGTAAAATTAAGTTTCCTCCTTAGACTTTGCCCCTGTTCTGTTTTTGGGGCCAGCTCCCATCTTCCTACCCTTCCCCTTTTCCCTTCCCATTTTGCGGCTGGTGGGCCTACAGGCCTGCTGTGCCCTGCCACAGGCACAGACTGATCTAGATGCTCCGTGACAGTATTTGGAGGATAATGTGCGCAATCTGAAGCTTTTAACATTAGCAGAAAAAAAAGGATTTCTTTCAGCCAGAAACGTGAAGAGCATTGGTAGCTAGCTTTGACCTTCATAGATTAGATTGTAGTCTGGACAGTCTGCCAAACTCTGGACACTGTACCAAGTGTTTTTTGTTTTTTTTTTTCCCCTTTTTAGCAACTGTCAGCTATGAATCTGTTCTTTATTTTAGGAGCGTTGTATAAGGGATTAAAGGCCATTATGTTTTTTAGAACTTATTGCTCTCTTATTAACTTCATGCTCTCTTGTTGTGGAACTGTATATTTATATAACCAAGTAAGAGCACTGATGGAGATACTTGCCTGGTACTTACATGAAGTGTTGTATGATTTGAACATTGACAATTACATTCCAGATGGAGGGGCAGAAATGGAAGCGGGTGTCCTCATGTCTAGAATGGAAAGGAGAAGCAGAGGAAGTAGAGGAAGATCCAGGCGAGAGGCCCTCCCCAAAACCACCCCAAAACCTGAGAAAGGCAACTGAGAAAACTAAGAGACACAGAGAGGAGAGTGAGGAGGAGGGAATCGCTGTTACCACTGTTTGTCGACCTCTGAAGATAACTGAAATCCAAGGCTCAAGAAGGGAGTTTACACAGCACCCAAATGAAACTATTGTCACCTGGTTGCTTCACTGCTGGGACATCGGGGCTGGTAGTGTGTCTCTAGATGGTAACAAAGCTCACCATTGGGCATTGCCCAAGAGTTAGCTATTCACAGGATTAGTAGATGTTTGGATGGAGCCGCCATCCTCTGGGAACGAATGTTAGCAGCTGTGAAGGAAAAGCATTCCTTCAAAGACAATCTGAAGCCTGAGATGAAAAAGCGGAATACAATTGAAAAAGGTATCCAATATTTGAGGGAAATAGCCATGGTGGAAATGTTATATGACCCTATGTTTGTTCCTAACAATCCATGCCAAGACCATGACAGTGTAGAACACTTTATATTTTAATAGCATATTTTAGAAATACAGTTGCTGAACTACATGATTAATTCTTGCTTGCAAAACTGCAATAGTTTTTAAGTGTTGCAAATAGTATGTTTATTATGGACTAGAAAGCATATTGTAAGGCTATTCTGTTTGAATAAGAGGCCTTCAGCAAAAAGAAAGACATCAAAGAAGTCAGGGCTTCCACACAAGGCTGGATTGTCTCACTCTGTGGATTGTTGGGATGCAACAAGCGTTACTCCCCTCTATCCTCCTTCCAAACTCTATCCAAAGATGAGCAGATGGCCAGAAGTAATGGTCGAATGTTGAGTGAGCAAATGTTAGAAGTTAAATCATTAGCAATATATGCTTAGCTAACAACAATTTATGTTTAGCCAGTATCCATATGTTTAGTTGAGCATCAGGAAGATCGTGAACTGAAGTACTCAGACATAGAGGAACCAGGGGAGGAAAAGATAAACATCAGGTAATAGAGCATAAAAGATGTAACACTATCTCTGCAGACACCCTCCTACTTGCAGGATACTTGCCATTGCAACTGCAAATAAAATTTGCTTTTATCAGAGATACAGTCCTGATAAATTATTTGGATATTTTCAACACACTGAAGAAGGAACTGCTGAGTTTAGGAATAAAGACAAGTGTGAGTGGAGAAATCCTTGGTATTTACTCATATTTCTAATGTGTCTTCCACTTTGTATGTTTTTCCTTTTCTTTTTTTGCAACCAAAGGAAGAAACTGAATATTTCTTTCCTGATATAATTAAAATATAGCACTCTGAGAAAAGAAACATCCTTTCTTGTTTTCTGAAGTATGGAGTACCAAGGCCTGAAGCAGTTCAAGGAAGAATAGGGACATGCTGAAGTTGCTGAGGGCACATTGCTGTAACTATTTCTCAATAAAAGTGAAAGGGAAAGATTAAGAAAGAAGAGAGAAAAAGCAGAGGCAGAAGGGGTCAGCAGCTGGGTTTAGGAACAGGCCGGCCTAGCAGGAGACTCCACCCAGCAATTTCTTTTTGTGCCATGGGAAGTTATAGGTGTCACCAGTCAGGGCACTGCCTAGGAACGTGGGAGACACTTGCAACATGAGTAGGAATATCCTCCAGAAAGAACACTGTGCTCTGCCTTTAATTTCAGCATTATACATCATCTTGAGAAACATGAAGCTTTCCTGCTTTCAGTCTTCTTTGTAGGAAATCTCTAAGAAACATTTTTATTAAATAATTGCTATGCTGGAGAAAAACAAAAAACAAAAAACAAAAAACAAAAAACAAAAAACAAAAAACACTCAAATGTCTCACCTAATTAAATGAAGGAGAAAAAAATGTATTTTTGCAAATAGTAACAATGACAGAACATTGAACCCAGTGTTCCTTTTTATATATTCTCAAAACACTTCTGAAATCTAGAAGCGACTCTTTCAGAAAATGGAGATCAGCAACCTACTTTTTGATAATGAATTGAAGCAGTGGAACGACCAGAGACTAGCAGTGACTTCAGTAGACATACAGAAAAAAAGAAAATATTTCTGACAATTACTTATTCAAGCTAAGAATTAATAAAAATATTTATTTGGTTTATATTGAAGGACAAAGAGTTTATTAACTGATGATGTTGTAACAATATGGTTACAAGATCTCTCAGATGTTCTAGTTAAAAATAGCAGCTGCTTCACCACTTGTACTGCTTTAAACTTAATTCCCTTGATACCAAGTATAAAGCAGAACTGTAGAAACGCAGAGTAGCTACCACATAAAATATTTCTCAGCCTTAGTACCATTTAACAAGAACAGAACAGTACTTAGTAAAAGAAGGAAAGTCTTATGTTCAGTTTTACCAGTTATTTCCCCTCCACCATAACAGAATGAGCTTTTGGTAAGTACAGCCTAGCGCATGAGAACAGGATGCTGTTTGTTCCAGATAAAAATGGAGCCCTCTGACAGATTTGCAATGCATGTGACATGAATGTGTCTTCATTCTTACAAAACCTTCAGGCAAAAATATGCCTTGGAAAAGGATTGTAGATCATCAGCAAAAAAAAAAAAAAGAAATCTGAAACTAAAATATTTCATATAAGAGAATACACAGTATTTGATTTTGCTAGGCTTACATGTATGTAGTTTAACTCTTGTTAGTGGAGTATATTTATCATTCTACTCAGAAATTTACTAAATATTTCTCACTTTACAGACTTGTTTCTTTCTATGGCAGCAAGATGTTCAGAGCTCCTAACAGAGTCAGCACAGTAAGAGCACTAAGTGGGATTTATTTCTTGATGAGAGCAGTGATACTATACATAGGAGCAGAACTTTGTCGTCACAGAAGCTTAGCTGGAGCTGGCTGCTTTTTCAGGAATTAAGTGGGTGTCTTCCTAATGACCCATTGTAGAATTACCTTAGTTCTACTCTCTTGTCAAAGGTACAGGCTTTTTTTGTGCTCCCTGCCTCAGGAGCAGTGTCTCCAGTGGCATTTCAGATAAGTATTACAGAATGAGCAACCACAGGAGGAAAACAACAGGGCATTTTCTTGCTCACGTCAAAAAAAGAAAGCACTCAGCAGCTGAGGCTATGCAAATGTTGTGACACAACATATGATAAAGTGGTTCTTCTCTGCATTGCTGCTATTCACAAACTTTGTGGTCATAAAACTTAAGTTCCTTTCAGTTCATTAAGTATATCTGGGTAAGAATACCTAGGCAATGTTCACAGTACAGTCAGAATAGTTCTTCTGTTTCTTGTCTCATATCTGCATAAATATCACTTCATGATAACAAGTCCGTGTCAGCTGCAAACTGATGTTCACATTACAATTGTAACTTAGAGTTTTTAATACAAAAAAAAGAAAAGAAAAAAGTATTCCCAAGACAGGTAATAGCCCTGAGAACTTGCCTCTTTTATTTATCTCTTTATTTGAAGGTTCAGAATTGGATTCAAACATATAAGATTTTGGCTACACAAAATGTTTTCTTAGTTTGAAAATAGATCAGATGAAGGGTTGATTTGCATAACCAGTAGCCTGTTTTTTTTAATCCCTGCTTTGGATTTGACTAATAGAAGTAAATATATGATTCCCCTCTGCTTCTTCTTGATAAGCTTCTGTTAGTTCTAACATGTTGGTCAAAATCCAGTGGGAATTGATACCAAGCTCTTCATTTTCTTTTAACCTTCTTCTGAAGGTATTTCATTTCTATAAAAGCAATACTTGTAAGAGCTAGAAAAATAACAAGGAAAGCTTCTTCGTAGAACCAATATTATGTCCTGTAATCAGCCTTGCCTTCAGCTATCATTATTTCTTTAGTTTACTTGAGATTGATAGTCCCACACTTCATTACAGAAACTGCTTTCCCTCACTGAATGGATCTCTCCCTCTGCATTTCACTGCATAATCTCATGAAAGAAATAAAGTTCCTAGTACTTCTTTGCTTATTGGCAGAGGACTTCAATAACAATTTGGGAGAAGATTGCTTTGTTGTATTTGTTTACATCTTCTCTCATTTTTCAGCCTGTTCTTTTACTGGTGGTACCACTTATCTGTGAAACTCACGTGCACATGCCAAAGCTTGTTACATGAATTTCATTATTTTTTTCTCTAACATTGCTGTCTAAATAAAATCAGTTTTGTCTTTCTGGACTCTAGTCTCCAATAAAAACTTTATTGGTAAAAAAGTACAGTACACTATGTTAGTGTGAATTTAGATACATTATTCCCAGAAATAATTTATTTAAAAGGAACTTAATACTAAGCTGAAATATTTAGATTCTGCTATTTACAAGAGAATATATTTTCATGAGCCCCAGGTTTTAACTTCTTTTCTGGAGTCCGTATTTTATAATTTTATTCTTAAAGTGCTTTTGAAAATAATATCTAACATTACATGCTCAAGTACCATAAAAGTATGTTGTCAGTACACACTGAGATGTTTACATGATTAAAATCATAGGATTAGGAAAAAACTTGTTTCCCTTTTCATACTGTTGGTGGCCTAAATATGTGAGATTTGGATACATCTGGTTTTGGATTTTATTACTGAATGACTTGAAGTGCCAGATCTTAAAGAATAATAGTAACTATTTCTGTTAGGTAGGAGCTTATCTGTTAGTAACAATAGAGTAATGAAAATTCTGGCTATTACAATCAATCAGAGGATGATTGTGAATCAGTGGTTAAAAAAAAACCCTCTTGATCTATTATATGCAAATCATTGTTTTTTAGTAGATAAAAAGGAATTAAAACTGTTGACAGTGAGACTCTTTATGGTCTGATATGCTGTTCTGATAAATTGTATCTTAGAGAGACAAATTTAAAACAAAAGAATGACTGAATAGATTAGAAAGAAAAATAATATTTGGGTTAGAAATAGGGAGAAGATTTCAAACAGTCAGAACCCAGAGGTTCTAATAGTGCTTTATAGAAGAGCTATTGGCCAGTTCTTAACTACTGCTGA